CCCAATCTTTTTCGCCATGTTTATCACAACGTTTCTGCCGTTGTACGCCCCGGCCTTCTTCAGGTGGTTTGAATGTCGAACTGAACTCTTTATTTCACTCGCTGGGGTAGACGTGCCATGTCTAATGGATGTCAGTTATGTCCTGTTAATTCCCTTCTCCACCGCCTTAACCAGGTATTGAACTCACACTCTTTGGGTCCTGTCACTGGATCTGAATCTATCCACTCTGCCATGTGTCCTTGAGGACATCTGTGCATGAATTTCTGAGTATTATAAACCTAATGTCTTCAGTAACCATTATTACCAGTGCTCATATTGCAATTTTTGATGTGTTGAAACTTGACTAATGCATGGAATAATAATACAACACAAAATGTACTTAGAACAAAATGTATTGAAACAAGAAAGGTACACAATATTTACATATAGTCTTTTGTATATTCTTGGGAAGACCGTTCCTGGAGAATGTGTTGACTTAGTCGCAGTCGGGCAGAGTCTCTGGATTGAATCTCTTGATTCCTCCCCTCGTCTTCCTGGTACCATATTTATATGGTCGGTACTCCACTATGCAAATTAGGTGGATCCTACCACAACATGATGTTATCATTGCATGTTTTTACCAGAGCTCATATTGCAATTTTTGTTGTTATTATCGATTTTCTCTAACACTCCTTATTACTGGTTCCCATATTTTATGCATTTCGAAATGAGTGAGCAAAATAAAGGGTTCAGTTCGACATTCCAAGCACCTGAAGAAGGCCGGGGCGTACAACGGCCGAAACGTTGTGATAAACATGGCGACTAAGATGAGGGCAATAATCCGAATAATGTAAACTGTGTACAAGGAAGCACGGTGGAGTAATGGATAGCGGCTTGGATTGAGGAATCGGAGAGCCGAGTTCGAATCCAGTCGAATACATTACATTCACTTACGTGCTAACACTCTTGAATGCCTGAGCTAGCTCGACTGAATAAATAATAATAAGTAAATATCTTGCTGTCATTTTTCACAATATGTTTTTTTAAGCTATTGTTATTAAATTTACAGATGTGTATATTTATGTATGTTTATGAAATATTATTGTTGTGCACTAATCTTGCGTAGACTCGGTCTTTTCACTCACAGGTTTCAGAAACATCTTGAATATTCTTTCGCTATCATAAACAAGAATCTAGCAACTGGCGTTACCGATTTTTGGTAATTATTACAAAAATTTGAACAGACTTTACAGATAAGAATAAATAAACTTTGAAATACACATGACGGATTATATGTACTGATTATTATTGAAGGTTTGTATATCACTAAGGAATGTGTAGTTAGGTCGACGATCCTTCTGTTTCTTATGTTTTTATGAATTACTGACGATGTAATTAACAGTTAAAAGATTATGAGTTATCTCCCTTAAACAAATATTTTTTTATCAGTTCATACTTAAAATATACTCAGAAAGAAATGGCCTGCTTCCCCTGGAAGTGTGTTTATAAGTTAAAATATCTAAATGATATTGTGGTGTCAAATATTGTGCTACAATGTGCGATTCATGTTGTGCTCCGATGGCATAACCCCTAACAGAAAATGTATCCTCAAAATATAAATTTTAGAAGTAATTTAATAATATTTGCAATGTATCTCACAATATACATTTTTGAAATAATCTAATATCATTCGAGTTCGATATTACATTGAGGCAGAGTTAAAATCAGTTTTTGAATAAATGCGATTTTAATTAAAAGGAAAAGTATCACCTGGATCCGCGCCAATAATTATGGTGCATATTTACACGAAGTTTCATCAAATGAGGATAAATATATCATTTCCCGCGTTCTGTACGCATTAGACGTAAAATCTGGATTACATTTCGATTTTTAATATTATTATAATAACATATAGCGTTGTTAATAAAGTTAATGAAAATAGTTGATATCATCATCATCATCTTCTATGTTCCATGTCACTTTAGGACGTTGGTGATCTTAGCTCTCCTCAATTTCCTGACCTTTTTAGATCTTAACAACATTTGTCTTTTCGTTATGTCTCCTAAAGCCTCTCCTGTCATCCATTTATCCTAACTAAGTTATGTATAGATTTCCGCTGTCCATCTTGCAATCAATCTCTACTGTGAGTATCAAATTTGCATGCTTTCTTTCCTCATTATATGTTTTAGACATTTCAAATATCTTGTATTAAGTATGTCATTTTTACTTTTATTTTCTATAAAACTTCGTCGTTGCTAACATATTCGGACCATGCTATTCTCATTATCCTTCTGTAGAACACACATTTCTCTTGATTCAAGTCTCGTCTTCATCTGTGAGAGTTTATCTATCATTTGTCGCCATATAGAAAGAATGATGTTACGTAATATTTCATTACTCTTTGCTTTATGGGCCTTTATAAAACGAAATCTCGGCAAGATTTACTGTAAGATTAAAAATAACAAGTCATCAGACTTTCTTTCTTATTAGGATTCATTTAATTTTTTTTTCTCCTACCTCTGATGGCAATTTGAAGATCGTTATTCTACAACCGGTAAGTAAGCAGTATTGATCAAAACTAAATATTATCCCCCGTTTGAATCCGTCGACAATATTGCGTGTTTCTATGTTTTTCGGACAGATTCTGGTCAATGCAAATTGCAGTGATGTACCAACAACAGTTGATCAAGTTGATAAGAAAGCAGGAAGAGGTTCACACAAAGAGCAGCAGAAGAAACTATTAGCATAGAACTTGCAAACTAGCAATTTCAATAGTGGAAATATGAGACCTAGTTGCCAATCTAGTACTGCCCTTAAATTCGTAAATACCAGATAGCAAGGCGGAAAGCTTATCAGAATAATTATCATGAAAATATTTATAGAAGACACAAAGTGAAGCTCTGTTAGGGCGGTGGGAAAATGACTGAAGCCGAGATGCCAGTAGAGGATCAATAACGTTGCAAATTCTTCTTTGGATTTTGCCAATAATATCTAGATAGAGCACCAGACCAGATTTAACAGCAACAGATGTAACGAAGAGCACCAGATCAGATGTAGCAACAATATACGGAAGAATGGTAGCTTTAAAAAAATAGTTCCGACAAGCACAGCCCCTGTTCTGTGAAGAGATTTGTCAATTTAAGTGTTTTTGCTAATAGCTGTCTTTTGTTTAATTAAGTGGAATCAACAAAATATCACAGCCTTCGCTAACCATATCATTGGTTTATGACCTGGCACTGATTATAAAACAAATACAACTCAAAAATATTGTAATAATAATAATAATAATAATAATAATAGTAAATAGGATGGAAGAAATAAGAATTTTTATTCAGTGATAAAGTAAACCAACAAATTCATAAGCATTCAAGTTTGTGAAGAACTACAAATAAACAAATAAATACGCCAACTGCAAAGAACTCAAAAAAAGAAATCAAAAGCAAACGTAAATGCAATGCAGCTGAAAGATACGCCTATTCATGGTCAATATACTGCCTGTACCAAAGAAGCGGATGTAGACAAATCCTGTACTCATCAATGGTTACGTAGTGCAGGGTTAAAAGCTGTAACAGAAGGTTTTATTTTCGCTGCACAGGACCAATAGTTGCTAACTAGAAATTACCAAACACACATAGTAAAAAAATGTCTTAACTCTAAATGTAGGTTCCGTGATAAATATCCAGAAACGACTGAGCCTCTTGTATCAGGTTGCACGTTGTTATCACCTACTGAACAGAAGTATTCGGCTTGATAGAGTGGGCCAATATCTTCACTGGAAAATATATAACTTTTACGCAGAGGAAACTGCAAGAAACTGGTATGAACAAAAACCAGACACAGTTGCAGAGATGGGGTCTGTAATAATTTTATGGGACTTTCACAACAGTCAAAACAATCAAAGCTAGTCGCTCAGTCGACATCGTGATTAAAAACAACAAAAACAGAATGTGATTTCTTATTGAGTTGGCAGTTCCTGCAGTTATAATGCATCTTTGATGAGCTTAAAATAACTAACAAAATACAACGATCTTGAAATGGAAATTTAAAAAAAATTGTGGCAGATGAGAACTGGAAGAGCACAAAGGACCAACAATTTGACAGCATGGAATATTTATATGAGTTCCACTTGAATTCTAAGGTGAGCATGAATCCTGAGAGACGTCCCAGGCAAGGAACTTATTGAATTTACAAACGTTCATGTCCAGCACCATTCTTTGTTATTCTATGTTTGGTGATTGGTTTCACTCTTGACGACGCCACAGATGCAGTATTTAAAGGATTTCAAATCAATAAAGCTAGGGTGCTCGATGATCGTTATTTTCTTAACAAGCCAATGTTGTGATAAATTAGCTATGTGAGAAATAGTGCGTGGAAACATAGACGTCTAAATGCTCGAACCACGTCTTGTACAATACGAAGCCCTTCGGGTAGTAGTGTAGAAGCATGAAATAAGGCTTGTGCACACGAGCAACTAGTCAATCACAGCCGTCGTAAACTTGCTGTACATCCCTGCAGAGATATATACTCACATGGTCACATTAAAGTAGGCTCGCTATCTCCGAGTTCCTTTCGTGGGTGGGAGCTGTTACGAGCACAGCGAGCATTTTAATTTTCTTTATGTAAAGCTCTGTAGACGTTTGAAATCGAAATGATAATGTTAAAATTTATTTAGATCATCCTCTATTTGTTGCGTTCTCAATTACCTGATGCAAACCGTATAATGATTATTTTGTCAAATGCATTATTGACGTTATCACTTTTATTATTTTACATCTTTGAAGTTAATCATCTGAAAAAAAACAACCCTTTTTGCCTTCTATCAACATGGCTGATGCTAACCTCCTTCTTGGGATAACATTTTCAACGGGCATGAAGTAAAAAGATTATATTAAATCAATTCTTAAGTCTGCTCTTACAAAATTTGGTTCACTGTGTCGTGCTAGAGAATTTTTCTCACAGTTTTATATTCTCCACACGCAATTTGCTTACTGTTGGTATATTTCACGCGCGTGCGAACACGCTTAGACCTCTTGAGCCAGCGACCGAGAAATCAAGGGAGCGAGAAATAGAGAAGAGAGAGAGAGAGAGAGAGAGAGAGAGAGAGAGAGATAATAGACTAGATATTCTGAGACGCAGAAACAGATACTACACTTTCTTCTTTTCCTTTTAACTTCTATAATTACAAGGATAAAAAGAACCAGAAAATCTAATGCTTTAAGCTATGCCAGATTATCAAAGTCACCAGCTAGAAATACTCAGGTTCAAATTTCACATTCAAATAATTTCTATTACGCATAGGAATCAATGAAACAAGATAAAATAATATTGATTTATATTCGAAGACACTCATTAGAAATTATTTGAATTCAGATCAACTGAAAAAGTGTGCTGAACTGCTGTGTAATATCAATAATTCTATATGGCGATCAAACTCGGCAATTTACGCAGCAGACCTGCAATTCTACAGAAGAATGCTGAGAATTTAATGCAAATAAAAACTTAAAGGAGAATTATGTTTAGAATCGGAAATGGGATAGTTCAAATTTTTGGCACACAATGATGAAAGAAGATTTAGAGAATTTGACACTTATGTAGAAAGCAATTAGAACAGTGAGATCGTGCAAGTAATATACTTAACGAATTTTATAAATGGAATTCAGAACAGGTGTTGGTAAAGAAAATCTAAAAGATAAAATTGCTAAGAGTTGCAAAGTATAAGACGCTATAGAGAGCCTTGATCACCTACGTCCTGAAGGGAAGAGGCGTATAGAAATGATATTTCTGAATTAAATTGCTCTTTAAATTATTTTTATATTTTCGTCAATATTAATTCTTCACTTTTATGAAAATATCTCAAGAATGTCGGAAGTTAGTAAAATATGACAAAGACAGGACATTTATTAAAAAGAATTCCGAAAACGAGATATCTATTCGAAAACACTTGAAATAACATGTGCAAGAAGAGGAAAAAGTTGCAGTAAGAATACCAATAACCTTAACCAATGGAAATCCTCTTGCAAATCTGGCGATTGGTCTCTGAACACTTTAGCTCTACCAGCAACTGAATAAACAGGCTATGCTTTCGAAATCGCCCAGTGTAAATTAAATAATATCAAAGTTCTTAAATCAATCATTTTATTTATCGTGCAGCTCATTCTATCAAGTGTCCATCCCAAAGTTAATTTGCACCACGCATCTCATTGAATGACAACTTCTCCCACGAGTGACGCTTGGACCGGCTTAAAACTCATTACATTTAAACGAACATCAACAATGGTAAAATTGTCAGCCATCTTGGTTTTGTAAAACATGCCCTGTCTATATTTCCAAGTCTGTGTAGTACGAATTGATTTCAATGCATACAACTTAGAATTTGAAATGTATTCCACTAATAAAATATTGATTACTATTAACACTTTAAGCCCTGTATTCCTAAACAATGTTAACCCTTCTGCCTGAGCTCCTGAGTCAACATTCGGAAGTAATTGGTATGTAATGTTTCACGGTAGATATAAAAATAATGTTTAACCAAAGTTCAACCGGTAGCTGGGAATTAAGGAATTTTTCTATAACTGTTGAACCAGTGGCTTAGCATTACACCATTATTCTCTACCACCGGTAAGGCGATGGTTTGGACTCAAATGGTTAAGGAAACTAATGTTTCTATTCGCTTATTCGTCGATGGAATTTTATGTTATTTTTGGACATTTCGTTCTTACTATCGCATTGAAATGGAATAAGTCATTGAAAATACCAAATAAATTAACTGATATATTTTGGACATGCCTTTTATATTTTAATACTCTCAATGAAAAAAAATTAGATAAGTTGTAAATTGAAGTTGTACATCATTAACGGATTTTGAAATGGGTGAGAATATTGAGGGAGCAAGTCGTATGAAAAGTGTCGGAGGGCTAGCTGCTGCGGGTCTATTCCTATAAAGGTATCCTCATTTTGCTCAATTATTTTCAACAGGCGCTACATAATCTCAGTGCCAAATCCAAAAGCAAGACTTCATTAAAGTCCTTGCTTTCTGTCTTGCGGGCTATGAAAGCTATCGCCTATTACAAGAGACGAAAGCTATCGCCTATTACGGGAGACGAAAGCTATCGCCTATTACAAGAGACGAAAGCTATCGCCTATTACGGGAGATGAAAGCTATCGCCTATTACAAGAGATGAAAACTATCGCCTATTACGGGAGACGAAAACTATCACCAATTTACGGGATATTGGCACATGAAGAAACACTATTGTAAACTATTATTGTAAACAACTTGATATAGTAAACAAAACAACTTGATCTGCTAAACAAAAAAAATTGTCAAATGAATCCTCCTTTGTTAAACAGAATGCAAAGGACATATACGCCAAGCATCCCCACTTCAGAATAAAAACGTTAAGATGGAAGGTTCTTCCACATCGTCCATACTCACCGACGTTCGTAGCTAAAAATTCTGAACTGTTTTGATCACTGTTGTATCATATCTACGGACGATAATGGGTTTGTCCCCATTTACGTAAATTCAGTAGTAAATACTATATGCTAGTCTGTAATTGGCGATTCATTGCGGAATTCACTTGACTCACTTCTAGCAGGTGACTACTTGTTCTACGCGCCACTGGCGAATCTTATATATGTTGTTCTTGTCCTAAGTATTATCGTTCATTACCAAATATGGGGAAAATAGAAATGGTTTACCTCCAAAACGCCCTCGCGTCTGTCTGGCCTGTGGGTTGAGAAAAGAAAGAAAGGGTCCAAGATGTCGTCCGTGACTTTTTTAATATTCACGGTTTCGTGCAGTCACGCAAAGTCGCGTTACACGCATGCTAATGAGGTGTGTCTGGGCTCCATAAAAGCAGGTCGCTTGGAGAAATTGGCAGAAGGGCATTACAACCGTATTCGGTGTACATTGCTTTGCGGTGCATCGTGTCAGACATTTTCCGGCGGAAAGAGTTGCGTCCCTTACACTCTTGAATTCGACTCCTTTGCTACACCAACCTTTGTGCGATTAATCTATTCAGTAACCTTCCGTAGGTTACAACAATCACTATAACATTTCATTCAGAAATAAAAGTTTGAATACTGACTTTAAAACAATTGGGTTTTCAAATCCCAGATATCTTGAAACTTGCTACTTCCGCTGGGCTACACTAATTGTAAATGAAAGTGATTGCATTTTAGATAAATAATATCATGAAAATCCACAAAGTGAGAAGATTGCGGAATTTATCGAACTGAAGGGATATTTACGATGATATGATTGCGCATTAAGGAAATAGAACGCCGAAAATTTAAATACGTTTTTTGCGTATATAGTCCAGTAGATTTAATTTCGTTTCTTTTTCTTCTTGTTTATATTTTTATCCTTTTCATTATTAAATATTCCACATTGTGATAAGAGAACATCTGCCAAGAAAGGGGAAATTTCAGAACCTCGAACTAAATTTACTGCGTTTTATTTTCTTGCAGTTAAAGCACTTTCTATACATATCCGTCTTAGTAGATTGATTTCTCTTTTAATTAGCATTTTAAATTCAAAATTATGGTCAGACTGTTATATAGGAATAAACTGTCGCTGCGGACACTTGAGTTTGAACATAGATCGCCAGTGAGCAAACAGAGGCGATCCAGTTATTGAATTAAGTAAACAACGTAACCATAGAGGAAACATATATATGGTGGGGAGGGGGTAGCGTGTGTCTAATTGGTCGCGTTTCTAGTCTATTCTCTGTTACTATACAGATCACCATTTTTAGTCTATCCTTTATTACCACATGTACCGCTATTCGCTACTCTATTCACTATACTATTTTTCTATTCAGATCACTATACGGATTACTATTCGCATCACTATTTAGTGGTTACTATTCGAGCGAGTATTATCGAGCAAGTACTATTAGTATGAGTGATATTTGAAGGCGTCTGACACCAGTATTGTTCAACGGCGTTACTAAAGTTGCATCTGCAGTTAGAAAGTCTCTATTACAACGAAAGTGACAACGAGTATTACAAAAGTGGCAATGAGAGTTCGTTGACGTAACAAAACACTTATTATGGAGATTTTATTTTGAAATTGTTCTTGATATATTAAAACTTATATATCATTTTCCCATAAATAATGATTAAATACATTTGCCTTACATGTGTTTTTATATCTCTTCTGGTAACTTTAATTCCTTTCCGAACATCACAATAAAATCCCTGAATTTTAATGGCGGGCCAACATTTCTTTCATAATGATATGCAAATGTTTAACTTAAAATCGAACTGCAGGCGATGATCAGAAATTCAAATATTATTAATACTTGATGCAACATTTTTTGAAATATGACCAAGTATTTGAAGACACTTTATGTAACAAAACGACAAATAAAATCAATTTTTACTAATCTCATTGAAAGTAATATATAGAGTTATGCCATTTGTGTTTGCCTATAACTAAGTGTAAGCGAAGTTGAATATTTCGTGTTAAGAAATTTGCCATAAGTATTTTGAATGCTTTAATTTCATGTGTGAAAATCTATCGACTCTAGACGTATATCTTCTGATTTAATGTTGGCGTCAGATTTTCTGGAGGTCGAAGAGAGACGTGAATGGCACTTCAAATGGAGATAAAATATTAGGGAAAAAATAACCATTATTTTCGTCTCTTTTAGGAAAAAAATATGAAGACGATATGATTTGGGCGGATCAAAGAGGAATTGTGAAACGCAGAAATAAGAAAATAATAGATCTTTTGTATATATATATATATATCTATATCTATATCTATATCTATATATATATATGTGTGTGTGTGTGTGTCTGTCTGTATGTGTGTGTATGAAGGAAGGAAAGGTAGAAGCAAGCAGAAAGAGAAGGATAGTGAAAAAGAGAAAGAAAGAAGAAAAGCGAAACAAGTTCTTCAAAGACAGAATAGAAAAGGCAGAGAGAAAATAGTTGTGACTCAAAGACATAAGGTACATAAGTTGGACAATAAAAAATAAAACTAGCCACTTTAGAAGAATCTTAGAAATATGAATGGAAATCCTATGAATTCTTGTATTTATAAGAACATGCTAATCGCAGTGTTTTGCTTTTTGGCGAATGTATAAAAGAATTAGATATATTGGTAACGTAGATGCGTGGGTATCGTAAGAGGTAATGGCTCAAAAGTTGAATCGCTATGTC